GACTGCTCCCTTCATCTATTGCACGCCCTGCTCCAGAAGGCCCACATCTGCAGCTGAAAAGTGACTTCACTAAACCAGTTTCCCACTGTAAAAGGCAGCCTAGAACAAGCTTCTGCCTCAGCAGAGTCCTCCAACCCACACACCTTCTCCACCAGTGCCTGAGGACAGAGCTCACAAGCAAAGCAGCTTATCCTAGGACAGCATAACGATTCCTGCCCCCAGGGAGCTGCTCCATCCATCTCCCTGCTTCCTGACCACGGACGAGTAAGCCACTCTCAAACAGAAGTTGAATTAGTGCAGGTTCAAGCCCTGTACATTGAGGCAGACCAAATTTGGTTCCAGTTGGCTTAGCGCGCCAGTCCATAAACTGTGCCAGTTCAGGAGCAAACAGGCGTGAGACAAGGGGCAGGGGGAGTAAGAACTCGTCCATCCCAGCTTAAACCACAACCGCACCCCTCAAGTCTCCTAGAAAAGCAACCCGTTCAGTCAAGATATCAGAAGTGCAGGACGGGACTCTGCTCCCCCGAGAGAGAAATTCCTCCTGTAGAGGCTCACGCTGGACACCACAACCCACAGCCACCCCCGAACTCCACAGCCACGCCAAAACACGAGCGACCTGCGGGGTAAGAGCAGCGCCGGTGCCTTACGCGTTCTCGATGAGCTGCTCCAGGTCTTGCACCTTCTTGCAAAGCTCCTCTGCCAGAGGAAAGCTCTTTCCCACCTTCATAAACAGCGCCGCGATCTTGTTGCTGCGCAGGAATCCTGCCGCCCTCCGCTTCAAGCCGTACAAGACACAGGCCTCCACCGCAGCTGCAACAGAGCGGAGCCGTTCCTGAAGCAGCAGGAGAGCTCAGGGCTCACGTCACAACGACCTCACTCCGCAGCAGGAACGGTTCCCAAGAGGAAACCAGCGCCACGTTCTGCTTTTGCCTAAGCAGACGGGAGATTAGAGAACCCAGATGGTTTTTGACCCAAAGCAGCGGTGATGCAGCTTTTCTGCCCGTGGAGTCATCAGTTCTGCTGATTATACAGAGGTACGGCTTTAGTTCTGGAAAACTGAAAACTGAGGTTAGCGCAGTCTATTGTTCCGTTCAGCTAATCTGGCTTGATGGAACTACACCCAAACTGTGGGTGTGCCAAGACTGCGCTTCAACGGAGAGTGAACTTGTGCCTGCTAAGGAGATCCAGGGTGTCCCTGAAATCACCTGGGATGGACTAGTCAGGCACACTAACTTGTCTTGGACTGGCTTAGCTGACCAAGCACCAGCCCAAAGAGTCCTTGCTGGACTGGTGGCGAAATGGGAACGTGCAGCTTTCGGACCACAAAGGTGGTAGCTCTGGGCCACCAGCAGCGAGCTGGGGGTGCTGGTGTGCCAGGCTGGCAGCCTGGAGGAGGATTTACCAGGGAGCTTTGCTCCTTCATAAGAACAGAGCAGGAGAGAGGACCTGGGCCGCCGTGCTCGCAGCCCTTTGTTCCAGAAGCGCCAGGATCCAGCTCTGCTACAGGATACCCTGAACGCACATGAATGCTAATGCTGGAAAAATCTCACGTGCACGGAGGTCGCATCCTGCTCCCAGGCTGTGCTGGCACAAGTGCTGTTCCCATTGTCCCAGCGGAGGAGCCGTGGCTCATGGTGGTACCGCACCGGCCAGGAGCTGCTGAGAGCCACCCAGGCTAAGCCTGTGGGAGTGACCAGCTGATCTCTGGCTTAACAACCTGAAGCTGAGCGTGGCTGCACACCACACAGCGACGGGCTGAACGGGTCTGAAACCGCTCCAGGCACCGGAGTGGGACGGAGGGCAGGCTGGGGAGGGACGGCCAACACCGCACCAGACCCGGGTCCCTCTGCAGGCTCAGCGCACGAGTCCCTCTCCTTCCCCTCCAGCGTGCTCATCAGTCCAGCCACCACCGTTAATCAGGGGGCTAGATGGACCGATGGGATGTAAAACTTAGATATAAGGCAGAGAACATCCTCACCCGGCCTTCAGAAAAATTCGACAACTGCCCGCATCTCCTCCAGGCAGAATAACTGCTTTGCTATGCAGACAAACAGGCTGACACTCTCCTCGCAGGTTTCTCGCAGTTTGTAGAGAAACCAAACAACTCCCTGAAGCTTTCCCCTCGGCCCAGTCTGAGGGATGGGCACGGCTGGAAGAGGAGCTTTCACCACGCTGTGCTGGGATGGTCCCAGCGTGAAGGAGAAAGCTCGGGAGCAAGAGACAGGCACACTGAGGATTTCTAAAGCAGCTGAGGAGATGAGGCAATTTTTTCACAAATAAATCCCAGTGTTTACACAAACGTTTTTCCTGAAAAACCTAAAGGCAGTAGAGAACCTGGGAATAAACCCCAGGCAATGCCAGCAGCTCAGTCTGGCGTCAGAGACCCTCCCAGCCCGGTAGTCAAGGACCGTGCGAGGCTTCGCCTAACTCCCTGCACTCACCAGACCAGAGCGAGTGCCCGGAGAGCACCAGCACCCTGCCCGGGCGGGCAGCGAGGGGCAGGCAGCGAGGGGCAGGCAGCGAGGGGCAGGCAGCGAGGGGCAGGCAGCGAGGGGCAGGCAGCGAGGGGCAGGCAGCTCTGCCGGCGCCGGGAGACAGCGATGACTCTGCAGAAACCTGCGCACACGTAGCGGCTCCAGAGGCAATCTGTTTGCCAGAGTCCCCTGGGAGGGCGCGGGATGGATGTCTGGTGTCAAACACAGACTTATTAAACAGGCTGATCAAAGCACTGGAAAATTACACGGACCCACAGTTCTGCGGGCTATTGATCTGGGCCTGACAAGCAGCTTTCTGGCGTGGCGGCACCCCTCCTTCCCCGGGAAGCCGAGCCAGTCGCGCTGAGCCTTCCCCGCAGCGGCCCAGCAGATGCTGATTCGCCTCTCGCTTGGAAAGGCATTTTTTTCCTACAGCTGAACAACTCTATGGAGACATTAAAAAAGACATTTCATGCAGACCCATCAGCTCGCAGGGCTGCGAGATGCTCTCATTATCCCTGCCCTGCTTAGTGCCATGCCCGAGTTCACCGCCGAGCAGGCAGGGCGGGCGGGCAGCATCTGAGGCGCTGCCAGACATACCCTGGGCTAACAGCAGAAAAGCGACACATTTGGGCCAGCCAAGTCCTCCTCACCCAGTACCAGCCACTGAGAGCCGCTGGACAGATGTCTAGTTTTTAAACAAAGCCCTTCACAAATCTTCCTGAAGCCCAAATATGCTGCAAACACACCCATGCATGGATGGGTCTTATTTGCAGCTGCGAATTAAGACCAGCCAGCTTCCTGGCTTAGGGACCAACCGCAATAAGACCCACGCCTCCCTCACACCCCCCCACATCACCCCACCCCACGGCCCTTCAGTCATTCGCTCTGTGCTCCAAGGCTGAAATACAAGGGACAGACACAAACAACCCTCCTGCCTGAGACTGCACCCAGTCGTGCCCATTTTAGCGCCCGACCACGGAGCTGGCATCTCCGGAAAGCTCAGCCCTGTCCCCACTGGAAACCTCCCACAGTGGAGTCAACCGCAGCCAAGCGAGCTCAGGAGTGAGCTGGAGTGGAACTGCAAGCAGAAAAGCCACAGCTTTGGTTTTGGAATGCAAGGTTACTCCGACTTACAGCTGAAGAAGAAATCACAAGCAGCACCTCCAAAACCTGAGACCAAACTGAGGGTGAGGCCTCGGGGACCACACGCCCACGTCAGCCCGTGTCTGCTGCCAGCACCAACCTCCCCCTCCTCTGATTTGTACTTTGGGGGATTTCCCTGCTCTCGAGCTGCTCTTTCGAGGGGCCTCAGCCTCCACAGCGAGTGCCAGCCCGGCCGGGCTCCAGCGCTCACCTGGGGCAGCCAGACACGGTGTGAGAGCAGCGCTGGATTTGTGGCAGTCCCAGATCTGCTAAGCCATCAGCTGTCAAATTGAACATGCTGCCAAGCAGCAACTCATCAGGGCCTAGTTTTGCGCCAGCTGCACGAGGTAACAAGAGGCCAGCAAGGCAATGAGCCCAAAAAGCCCCTCTGTGCCTCACACCCACCCGCGTAGGCCAGAGAGAAAAGTCGGGCAAGCAAGCCTTCAGTCATCAGCGTCTGTCACCAACGCCATGGAGCGACCCTCTCCAAAACGCTTCTCCTGCCGGCAAAGCTACGCACAACTGCGCAGACCCCTGGGAAAAACCCTCCCCGTGCTCTCCCACGGGCTCAAAAGCTTGAGCACATAAACTAAGTGTATCAGGTCCGTGCTAAATCCAAGGATAGTGGTAGATTTTCTTTTTAATCTTATGATTTTTTTGAGCCCAGTTCATAACTTACTGTCACCGCTGCAAAGAGAAAGACTCTCCCCATCCCTACAGCAGAGACACACAGTGCAGGGGTTCTGTGCAGCTACACCCAGGCAAGGGGGGAGTTTGATTTCTTGGCAAAAGACTAAAGATATTTGAGATCCTGAGAGCGCTCTGGCCCGACACAATTCAAACTGCTCAGGGGCTGAGCGCGAAGGCAGCCTTGGCACTGATGTGGGCAACAAACCCCCTCAGCTCACGCAGGCCCCCAGCCCCGCTGCCAGCGCTCCATCAGCCTCCCAGGGCAGCGTCAACATGACAGATGCCAATTCATGTTTTTCTGCTTCAAACCCTTCCCTTGCAGGCAAAACAGGGCAGCTGCCCTTTCCTGCCAGACCACTGCTCTCATCAGAAAGGGTTTGCGGTACGCTGGCTACGCAGAGGATGAGGAGGGCTCAGCGAGGAGGGCTCTGCGGGGCAGGCGGCTCTTCCCAGAGAAAAGGGCAGCTCTGCCTAGCCAGAGCCAGGCTTGCAGCACGCTCAGCTTGTCAGATTATTTATAAGCTCACCCAGCTCACGGAGAGCCACGGCACCCAGGAAGGTGCACATCATCCAAATGAGAGAGCAACAGCAGACGGACCAGAGGGTGCGGACACTAGAAGCCAGTGAAAGTGCAGCAGCAGCATTAAGAAGCCAGAAGGAACCAACGAGCCCTCCGTGCCTGGATGCCTCAAGCTCCGTGTCGCAGGAGGCTATAAATAATTCCAGGCTGCAAAGCCTCGTGCCGCACAGAAAAGCAGAGAATGAGTCACACCTTGAAGTCTGTTCTGCTCATTCGATGCCATTCGGTCGACAGCGTACCAAGGCACAGAGGCCTGAAACAAGCATCCGCATGGCTTTTATGCGAGGGCCCAGGAGAAAAAGGAAGACGACAGCCTCTTTGCTCTCTGAAGCAGAAAAGGAGACCTCCCAGCTCCCTCCTCTTCTGTGCCTGTCTGTGGATGCTGCTGCCTCATTCAGCAGCGACAGCGCTGCACGAGCCTTCTCCGAGCAACTTCTCCCGAAGCGAGTTGTCATCGCTTCTGTCATTTTCTTCCTAGCCTCCAAATTAGCAAGCTGCCCTTCAGCTGTTTGTAAACCGAGGAGTGCGGCTCCCGCTCCGCAGGCTGCCTGCAGCGTTTGCTCAGCAGCAGCCACGCGGGCCCAGCCTGGGCGTGCGGGAAGTGCCGCTGCCCGTAACGCAGCAAACGTCTCTGCCGAGAGCCACCGGCATGGCAGGCGGGTCAGGCTGCAAAGGGGCACCCCCCCCCCGGGAGCCAGGGCTCCTGGTGCTGGTCCCCTGGCACCCTCGGTCCTAGGGCTGAGCCACAGGGCCACAGAGCAGCTTCTTGCTTTGCCCTTTAAAGAAACTTGTCCAGCCCCCAGAAACCTTCTCCAGCGCTCGGCGCTGGCCTGCTGAGCTCTGCACGGGGCAGGGTGCTGAGACCTGGCCTCAGGGAACGAGGCCGCCCTCTCGGGCTCCACGCTACCTTTGAGATACAAGTACCCCTCCTCTCCTGCTCCACAGCCCTGGCCCGGTGTCCCCCGGCACGTACTGCAGACAAGAGCCAACAGCTCTTCAGGGAGGTTTTTGGAGAACGCTTCGCCAAGGTTTTGATGGACCCATTCTGAAACACTTCAGCATTTACAAAACTGCACACCAGTAGGAAAAAAAAAAAACAACAGGTGGAAAAAAACAGGTTAAGTGAAAAGCACAACTGCCAGAAAACAAGCCTGAAACCAGCACACGTCAGGGCAGATCTTCCACAAACTCCATTTACAATTCTTCAGCAGCCTCCAGCCTGCTCCTGCACTCAGGCAGAATGAATACTCCTTTCCCTAAATTCCTATTCTCTAATAGCAAAGAAATATTTGGACTTGACCGACTTTCTGTTGAATCAGTTCTTAGGGGAATTAAAAGATTATTTCTAGTATTTCTTAAATGACTGTATACACTGCCAACATCCCTCCCTCGACGCATCTCAGTATATTTTAAGCGCAGAGCAAGGGCCTCGGGGACTGCGACCGCTGCCAGAACAACTCCTCCTCTGGCACTAACCACCTCCCCAGCCCCAGCACTGGCCCCAGCACCGGAGTGTGTCCCCAGGAACAGCCCTGGCCACGTTGGGCTTGCCCTGCCCGGCAAGAGGATGCTCCAGCCCCCTGTTCACATCCACATCCCACCGCTGGAGACTCACCACAGAAGGAGATGATGTGGCTGCTGTCCTCATGCACAAACTTCCTCGTCACTGCCTCCTCCATGATCTGCTTCACCTGTTGAACAGAGGCCGGGTTAGAGAAAACGTTGAATTTCAGCCCCAGGCCAGAGCGAGGAGACCTGTGGTGGAGCGGGTGCGAGATGCTCTGCTGGCTTCGTGTCTGCAAGGAAACCTCTTCTGCTCTCTGACTTTTCTAATCACTCTGATGGCGCAGGAGGTCTCACGGAGAATTAACACAGCTTTGTCTGCTGAGCATCACCACCTATTTCAAAAAGTCAGGTATAAAAAGGATGGGTTTGTTTTTGAGAAACTAAGAAACCAGCAGAGAATTAACTGCAGGAAGCAAGCATCATTTAGATAAAAGACATCTTAATAAGGGTAACCAAATCTCATACTTAATGCTTTTAGAGCATTGTTATGTTCTTTCGTTTTATGGGCATCTAACAAATTCCATGTGAAGCCGCTGTTCCAAAAGTCAACGCCAAATTCAATGATCACCTGGCACTAAACGTGATTGCAGAGCAATGCACTCAGCGCTGCCCTCCCAAACGACAGAGTCTCTGCTGCTCATGTCACGATACTGGCACTCACTGCAGGGCAGTTAACCCAGAGGAAGCTGTCCTGTAGGCTGCACATCAGGGGCACTATGCGGGGAAGAAAATCTATAGGGACCCACAAAACTTAGGAGCGCAGACACAAGGCGGGAGGTCAGACCTGCCAGGGAAGCAGGCTGCAGAGGACGGACTGCGGCCCTGGGGAAGGTCCCAGCACTGTCTGGCTACTCCACAGCAGCAGCTCAGCAGAGCCTGAGGAGCCCAGGACTGCCAGAGCAAAAATCCAGGTGTCCCTCTAGCACCGCTGCTCTCCCACGAGTACCTGTCACCGCCAGCACCGGCTCTGCCCCGCTCCCCCCCGCCACGCAGAGCATCCCCCTGGCAGCACAACACCCCTCAGACCTGCCCGGGAGAATCGGGCAGGGTCACCCCGTAGGCCTGCGCTGGGGAACTCGTTACACACCCCCTGGGAGCAGCGGGGCCAGGCGCTGCCGTGAGGGGCTTCCCCGCGGCTCAGCTCCAGCAGCTCGCCCAGAGCAGATCCTCCCCGGCAGGGCTGGCCCCCCCTCAGTGCAGAGCACTCCCACCGTGCCCGAGCCCCCTCTCAGCTCTCCAGCCCACCTGCCCACGCAGCCCGTGGTGTTTCCGTGGTGCTCTGGAGCTAAAAAACCTGGGCTAGACCTTTGTTCCACAGCAACTGCAGGTGATAAACTCGAGTCGCTGTCAAAGAGAGGATTTTTTAAGTGCCTTGCTGCCCCATTTCCGATGATCGGCTTCCAAGCCAGGTTGCCAGCAGCCTGTCCCCCCCTTGCTGAGGATCTGTGGAAACATGTTGTCCTCCCTCCATGTCTCCCACCGCTCCTGGCGGCGACCTCTCTGCTGTGCTGAACTTGATCTCAGCTCTTCTCTACACGGAGGACACTGATGGCAGCACCTGAGCACATGCTGCTGCTGAGCAGTGACGGGTTTCGGCACCTCGAGCAACTTCGTGCTCTCAGCAGAGATGACTTCTCCCGTTCCCACGGGTTGGGGGAACGCCGCTGGGGGTGCTCTGACTTTCAGGGTGAGATTCTGCAGGAAACACCCTTAAAGCTGGGTGATGTGGGGGAGTATGGCCCCACAGTCAGGGCAGGGCAGAGCAGGACACAGAGCCGCTCCGAGGGCTGCCCCGGCTCTCCAGCAGCTCCGTCTCCATTCGCCCCACGCAGGAGCCACACACCAGAGACGTGGAGTTCAGTGCTCGGCGGGGTTGAGCCTTGCTCGGGCGCTGCTGGAGAAGCTGGGGTTGTTAATGAAGGAGGCAGCCCTAGACTGAGGGCTCTGCCTGCCGCCGTTGCCCACGGCCGCCTGTCCAGCAGAGCCCGGCCAGCTCGGCCCCGCAGAGCCGTGGTACCCCCGCCCGCCCCGCATCACTCCGCAGCCCTGGGCCGAACATCCCAGCCCTGCTCAGGCCCCAGCTGTCGCCCTCCCTGATCCTGCTGAAATCAGAAAAAGTCCAGCTGAATCTTTGGCCCTTAAACAGTCAGTTCCTAACTGGGTTTCCTTTTAAATACGGAGCTGCCAGCGCGCCCGGATCTCTCTCATCTTCTAGTGCCTCTATAGCATCTTGCTTTTCCCTCTGTGGTTTCAGAAAACGCAGGGGAAAGGGTTCACAGTGCAGAGATGTGGGCGTAAGAGAGGCTCAGCTTATCAAGATGTTCCCTCTGAAGGCACAAGGAGGAGGAGAAAACGGCAGGTCAAGTCTTGGCCAAGTGAACCTTGCATGTATGAGAGACCTTTAATGCATCATCTGGGGAATTAAACTCCTTTGCAAGGTATAATCAAGGTCAGATATGCACAGCTGACAGCTCAATAAAGGAAATCCTTTTATGAATATGGATTAAGAAAAAAAGTCCTCTCTACAGCCAAAAGCCTATCTCTGCATGTCAAAGCCATCAGGTCAGCTCTGCGGCTCTGCTCCGAGGCACAGGGTGACAGCGGAGCCTGCTCGTGAACCCTGGGGAGCAGGACGAGCCCAGGGAGCTCACCTGGACCCCGGCAGCTCAGATGAGCTGGCAGCCAGTCAGAACTCGCAGCTGGGAACGTCACCGAGATGGGCACCTGGGGACCCGAGTGACTCAGAGCTGGGAATTCACCTTGGCACAGCACGATACAGCTCCTGCAGCTCCTGCATCCCGACTCCAGCTGCAGGAACACTCCGGGCACCGAGGGCTCCGCTTGCAGAGACCTGCCAGAAAGCTCCCTCTGTGCAGGTGGCCACAAACTGCAGCCGTCCCTTATCAGGGCACCGTCCAGCTCGGCGAGGCCAGCGAGCCCTTCATTTCACTACACCCGACGTACAGTTTGGCCCCTTGTCCCGCTGCCACGCACCGAGCACCATGGAAGGAGGCAGCTGCAGCCCTCACTTGGGCTTCACGGCTCCAAGAGCGTTTTAATTTTAAACTTCAACAACGGAAGGAATACCGTGAAACGGAAACAGGGACAGAGCAAGTCCCAGCCACAGGGAAGGAGTCCCTCTCTAACGTCTGCTGCGTTACGGCGAGATAAATCCCCCGACCTTGGCCGGGAAGCAGCACAACCTCTGTCCACCAGCAGCCTTGATGCACACCGAAACAGAGCTCCTCCTTTTCCTCCACCCAACACCACAAGTGCCCAACAAAGACACACCAATCCCTCCTTTAGGAAACCCCAATTTTCCCAGGAACCATCACCCCCTGGTTGCAGCCCTGGCAGAGGTCGTGATGAACGCCTTGGGACCTCAGGAATTCCCCAAAATTGGGCTCTCCCGGCAGGCTGAGCAGCCTTTGTCCAGTCACAGTCCTCACCCAGGCTGAGCTTCCCCTGTCAGCAGGTCACGGGCACTTCTCTCCCACATACCAAATTCATCTGCTACAAAACAACCACCACGCAGGTATGAAACGTACCCTCAGGGCAACACGAGTATCGTCCGTATTTTAAACCTCCCAGAATACACTTGAGAAATCAAGGCACATAGATAGTTACCAGCTTCTGATTAAATTAGGAATTTACTCAAATCCAAGCAGTCTATTCCAAAATTTGTCAGGCACCTTTCGTGCACGCTGCTGTCCCAGTGCTCGGACACGAGGCCGCGGACCCCCCCCCCCAGCAGTGCCTTCTGTGGGCAGGGACCATCTGGTCACTCCGTGCCCGTGGAGCCACCAGCGCAGCGGGACGCTGGCTCTGACCCGGCATCTCAGCGCCAACACGGCACCAACAACCTGCACTCTCCCGGCACCCAAAAAAAACCAAACCCGCTTCCAGAGTTTAGTGGAAAATTACTCATTAAAAGAGAAAAAAAAAAAAGGGGGGGGTGTGTGGTATATTGACTGAGGTTATCACGCTAAACAAAATAAATCAAAGATATCTAAAGAAATAGAAGTGGAAAGGGCGCTGCAACAAGGGCACTCACCTGACGTGAAGGGCTAAAGCAGAACGGGAGCAGCTCTACGACAAACACAAACCCCAGCGGACAGACAGACAGACAGACAGACACGCTCTCGTAACAGAAAACAAGTGTTACAGCGAGAGTTTTCACAGGAAACAATTTTACATTTTGCTCATAAATGGACCCAGCTGGCATCTCCAGCACAGCTCCAACCCAGAGCACCCCAAAACTCCTGACGGGTCTCCTCTGCTGTTGTCTGCGGAGCCCGGAGGACTCTGCCCCCCCAGCCCCTTGCAGGGACCCCAAGCGCCGCAGCGGCACCCGCCGCCGCCGGACCCCGGAGCCTCTGCCGACAGCGCGGGGATGGAGCACGCCAGCTAACCCCCCGCTTGGCTCGCTGCACGGGGAAGACTTGAACAGCCTCTGAATATGCTGCGTTCCCGCATTTTAATGCTAATTCTCATATTGTAGCCAGAACAATCTCAACAAATGAAGCTGCCCACTCTTAGAGAAAGCCAGTCTAAGGAAAATGAGATGTTTGCTCTTCTTTTATTAGAAAGGAAATTAAAACAGCAACTAATGATTTAGCTGTAGGTAAACTCGAGAGGAACATCATAAACTACTCCACAACAGTAAACCCACTCCCGGCTCCAGCTGTGAGCACAGGACGAGCCACCCCTGCTCAGGGTCACCCCACTGCCCGGTGTCCACACAAACCCCACGGCATTAACTGCAGTTCCGAGGACACAGCAGCGGACAGGCCAGTCTCGACATCACCGCCTGACCCACGGACTCGCGAGCAAGCGAGATCGTCCTCCACTGCTTCACGCGCATCTCTGAATTACAAGGAAATCAATTTTTTTTTTTTCCTCTTTGTCTCATCTCCAAAGCCAGATCCAAGAGCCACAGGCGCCGAGCAGAGCCCTTGGGTAACAGCACCCACCAGGGGCATCAGGAACCCCAGCACACCCCTTCAGAGCAGGGGCCTCGCAGCCCCATGCTGCAGTGAGGCTCCTAATCCCAGAGCCAGCCTCTCTTTTGGTTCCTCTTGGCCTGCCCAGCTCCGTCACAGCCAAAACGCTGCTGTTAAGATGCTGTTTGAGTAACCACTTCCGCGCCCCCCTTCAAAAATGAAAACCAAACCTGACCTA